AATTTAGTGCGCAAAAAATGACAAAATTTTCATTTTGTGTTCGTTGCCTTAGGACAGGAAATGAATGTTTCATAGTGTAATTTTGTGTTTGTTGCCTTGGGACAACTTCATATCACGAATTACTCTTGTCTATGTATTGATAAAGCTCAGTATGTTTGTAATAGCTTTAACTTGATTTTCGTGGTTAATCTAAGAAACCGAAGTTTGAATTATATATGAGTTGTTCGAATGTGGTAAATCTGATGATGTGCTTACTATCTTAGCATTTTTGGCTTTGATGTATTATTTATTTGCTCCATATCTATATGGTGTGTAATGGCGAAGACTGTTCTGTGGAGGTGAGTTCAACTTCTCGTTTGTAGTTTGTTCTTTCCAAGGTAAATATATGGTCACGGTGTTTTATGCAGGTTCCATATTACCTTGGCGAACTCACGGAGAAAAGTGCTCGAGAGGATAGGATTCAAGTTCTGAAAAATTCGCAAGCCAAGTTGAAGGTATTACTTAATGCCAGATTGTCTTTAAAGAATTTTATCTTTGTTTCTATTCACATTTTTGTTCCCATCAACATGTTTTTACAAAGTTGTCATATTTGTACAATTTTTGAATTACATGGTCATAAAAATATCTGCAGGAGTTTATATCTTTCTGTGAGGCAATGGAACTCGTACCAGAAGAGGAGTTAGAATCATATGCCCGAGCAACGGATGGTACATCTACTGATAGGAGAGCTCAGAAGGTAGATAGGGAAATTTATTTTGCATTTCACAGTCTAATCTCACAATTGACATTATTCAGCATTTGAGCTCTGATTATAGGCTATGTTTGGTAAACCAAATAAGCTAGCTTATAGCTTATCTCTAGCCTACCCCAACTTGCTTGGGACAAAAAGACTGTTGTTGTTGATGTTGTTGTATAGCTTATTTGGTTTGCTTATGAACTCCTTGTATTCAAATAAGCTTCGTTTGGTACAACGAGCTTTTTTAAAAAGCTCGAGCTTATCTCATTAGCTTCTTTGGCTAGCTTTTCAAATAAGCTCGTTGAAATTTTTGTTTCAGCAACTAAGTTTACCAAACACTTTTATCATATAAGTTAATAAGTCATTAGCTATAAGCTATAAGCTCGTAAATTATTTATTGGCTGAAAGCTAGCTTATCCGCTAGTTTTACCAAACATAGTCATAATGTTTTAACAAACAATTAAACCTAATATGTTTTGGATCTGTAACTGCAAATGTTACTTGACTATATAACTGTATCGGTTACTTCAGATTGCTCGGTTTAAAAGACAGAAAGCTGCCGAGTCAAAGCTGCTCGAAATAAGAGAACGAAAAGAACGTCGTGGGAGGTCCACCAAGGCTTCCACCTTATCTACACGTGTTGAGGTCGGAGAAGAAGATAATGAGGATGATGATGGAGAAGAAGAAAGGGAGGTCTGTTTGCTTAGGGGTTATAAATACCTTTATGGAATTTTTTAGAGCACGGTATATTTTTTGGTAATAAAGGGAATGATTGATAATTTCATGATGGTGGACATATGAAAATAATTTGGTATTGTTAGTTTATGTTACTTGTGTGTGATTGTTCTTAGCATTTGTTTGTTTCTGGTCTATAGGCCCTGTTATTCGCTTCATTCAGTTAGTGAATATCCATAACTAGAATTCTTCTCATTTGCAGGCATGGTTAACCACCATCTCGTTGGCACTTTGTAAGGTTTGGCCCAAAATTTTCAGCTCTCAAGTTTATTATCTTAAATGTATTGATTGCACTCGTCCATTTGTACAGATAAATCATTTTTCTACTCGTTAATACAGGCATTTGATCTGCTTGAAATGCTGAAGAAAGAGGAAGAAATGCTTTTAGCTATTAAGGAACGGCAGTCTCAGGTATCGACTTGTCAAAGTTTTACCTTTATCGATATGTGTTGTATCTGCATGAAGCATGCACTTATGTTCACAAAGCCTATATTTGAGGAATAATAAAGCTGATAATTACATGAGTAGAAGAAAAACTATGGTCCACGCCCCTTGCCGTGCGTTGAAATCCGATTTTATTTCATTTTCACGCCAATAGATGCATTTTTACTGCATAACTTTCAAGTCTTGTTATGCTCCCCTTTTCTTTTCTCGCCGACTTAAGATTAGATATTACTAAAATCTGATTTCCCATGGCATCATAATAAGTAAAATTCCATAATATTCAGCAGGAAGGGGAAAATGAAATCTCACGATCTATTCTCGATGAGCGTGCTAAGAAAGCTGAATCCTGGCACCGTGATGCTGCCTCAAGGGCTCGTTTTACAAAACCTGCTGCCCCAATAACGTGCGCCACTTTTGCTCAGGATGTCCTAGAAGGTCGAGCCCAGATTTCGCAAGCTCATGAACACAAGCACCAGCCCATGATATTTGGACCCGCAAGCCTCGTGGCCCAAAACCCGACCAGCGAGAGGGAGAAAATTGCTGCTCAAGTCTTCCAGCCTCACTACAGGTTAGGCCTGTAAACGAGTCGAGTCGAGCTGAGTTTAGCTCGTTAAATAAACGAGTTTGAAATCAAGCTCGAGCCAAGCTCGTTATCACTAATAAGTAATAACGAGTCGATCTTGAGGTTTAACGAGCGGAACTATAGAATATTATATAAAAATTCTCATTTTGAGCCTTATAGAGTCGAGTCGAGCTCGGCTCGTTAACCAAACAAGCTTTAAATGAGCTCGAGCTTGGCTCGTTTATCAAACAAGCCGAGTCGAGTTAGACTCATTTAATTTAACAGTACTACTATTACGACAACTACTACTACACATATCTATGTCTAATATTTTTACCTCCCAAAAAAAAAAAAGAACATTGATGGGTGGACCCAGTGGTCGAATAAATTTTCTGAAATTCTTATGTTCTTATCAATAGATTGCCTACGATGAGCATAGAGGAAGCTGGTTTGAAGGAAATGGAGATAATGAACAAATGGCAAGAAAGAAACGTGAAGCTAATGGAAGAAGCTAACTCGTCTTGGTACAATGACAACAGGCAACCGAGACCCAGCGAGGATGACGATGATGATAAGGATGATGATGATGCACAAGAAAAGGCAAGAGCTTGGGACGACTGGAAGGACGAAAACCCACGTGGTGCGGGAAATAAGAAGCTCACTCCTTGTGGCTAATTGTTGATAAAAATTCGGAATTATCTTAATATCTCATTGTAATTCTGTCAAAATTATCATTTGCTGTAGGAATTGATGTAGCAGTTTTCAGACTGCATAGTGTAGGCGTTGCAGGTGAATATTGTTTTATACGTTTTAATATCGTATGGTAAATTATTTTTATTTCAATTTTATAATACGTACTAGCTGCTGGGAATATTCACCCAATAAATTATACATACATAACGAGCTGCTGGGAATATCCACCCAATAAATTATACATACATAACGAATGATTTAGGTGGGTTCGTACATTGACACCGCATTCACCCCAACATTCTCGTTCTTCACCAGAGTCTACCTGTTTCGCAATTGAGGCTAGTTGTGCCCTCAACGCAATCATCCAATCATCGAGTTCGATTCGGTAGTCGCCGCCACTCCATTAAACATTGTCTGCTCCACCGGCTATTGATAGCTATAAAACGCAAGAAAGAAAAAAATAAGAAAATATAAAAAAATATCTAAAATAATATTTAGTTGCTTTATTCTAATATTAATTAATTTAACAAATAATCAAAAACTTGCATTGGTTGACCCAAGAAAAAACTTGCATTTTACTTGAAAAATATAATTATGTCATGAAAATGATTTAGGCGGTTTTGTTATCAAGTCCTTTTTTTAATGTATTGGAGACGGTATTTCTGTAAGTACAAATATTTATAAAGAAATTTGGCTTTTTTTTTTCAACTTCAACTATTTAAAGTACATTTTGTCCTCGACAAATATGATAAATCTTTTAAATCAGAAGTTAATAAATTTTCCCTTCTCAATTACCAGAATATATTTGCTAGCATTTGGCTAAAAAATTTTCATATCTACAAACATTAAGGGGGCGATTGTTTATAGTTTCAACAGTAAAAAAATTAATCAAAACTCAAATTTAACTCAACTTTAACCCACCTCTACTATCTCTCATATTATCAATATAATTAAATAATATCAACCAATCACTTTTAAACATCACATCAACTTTAATTCACTATTCATCCACTCACATAATTTTAACTAACCATCAATTCCAATTATTTTTTTTCATATTTTACATCAAATCAACTTTAATTATTTTATTTAAATATTATTTTAATACATCCACTAACAACTAACCATACCACTTTTTTCAAACTAGTTGAATTCATAAATAATCACACCCTAAGAAGTTAACAGGTTGAATGATATGTGACCATATAAGTTACAACTCTACTTGAAACTCAACAAAATTGGACTAATATTGTAGGGCTTTACCCTAATAAAAGGGAGCCCTTCCAGAAATTCTCGAGGGCCAAGGTCAAGCCCAGGCCCAAGAGGGGGTTTGGAAATAGTTTTCAACCAGCAATAGACGCGCCTCGGTTAGTACCTCACTAGCTGCGTCATTGCCCCAAGCGCAAAGATACTTTAAACGAAGCCCATTCTCTTTCTTTTATAGTCCTCAAGCTCCACATATTCTTCATAGTGTGTCCGATGTGGGACGAGTAGTGACAAAAAAATTAAAATTTAAATCTTCAATCTTATTTCACAATACTATGCGTGGAAAATAAATCTTATATTATTAGGTACTAGTACAACACCCGTGTATTACACGGGTGCTTGTTAAAAAATTATTATTAAATTTTAAAATTAATGAGAAAACTATATTAAATTTAGTTTACTTTTTTACAAAAAAAATATATTACTATATATTTTAGAATGATTTGTGTTACTTATGACTTAACATGTGTTATATTATATTAGTTTTTATAACTTATATCATATAACTACTTGAATATAAATATATTAGTTGATAAATAATTTTATTTTTCTAATTAATATTAACAAGAATTTTATTATTGTTATAAAGATCAATATAAATTATTTTTTTATACATACAATATGGATGTTAAATCGAAACTCATCAAATGAAGATTAATTCGATATATTACGTATGTAAAACTGATAAAAAATACAAAAGTTATTAACTTTTAAAACATATATACAATTCAATAGTTATAATAAGGAATGATATTAAAATGCAGTTAATACATGTAACATGACCATAAATAATCAACATATTTATGGTAATCCGAACCTAATTATTTTTTGTTTAGAATTAAAGTAAAATTTACTCAAGCCTAATAACGAAGCATGTAATTTTGCCACATATGATTCCGAAGCACCAGAAGCAGCCGCGTAGGATCAGCGCGTTCTGGATTAATATATAGGGGGATTGGCCAATTCAATCCAAATCTTATATCATAATACTGCGTGTGGTTGGTATGGACTGCCTAAACAAGAATTCATCAACTGTGAACCAACTATAATATATTATTTAGAAAAAAGAATTTATTGAATCATATCAGTCTCCGTTTATGGTTTACACACATCCAAAAAAAAATTGTTTTAGCTTCTAAAACTAAATACAATCATGAACCTGAAAAAAATACTTGGCTTCTAAAAGTAAATAGCAAAACATAAAATCTAACGAGTTGCTCGAGCAAAATGCCGCTTTCAATGCATAAGTCACGTCTCGTTTTTGCTACGCAAAACTCAGCCTGCGTAAGGAGGATCGATAAAAGCCCACTCGAATACTTGCTCGTATTGATTTGCTGCATTGTCCCACGACGAATTTCTTTCCATTCCCCGCCTCATTAGTCCTTCCCAAGAAGACTTGTGCTCTCTGTATGTCCCGATCGCTATTCTTAATGTCTGCAAAGCACCAAATTCCGGGAGGAAAAAAATGGCATTTAAAATCCGAAGTTTCATTAGCCATCGACAATAATAGCATGATCCATAAGGTTCACGAAAAAATAAACTTACAGCCAGTAGACTTTCTTTCGACAGAGGAGTAAAGGTCCACCTGTGGTAATAATTACAGCCGGGAAAATATTGAAGCAAACATAATATTGTTCTTTAAATGATCTGGAAATAAACTTGTCCGAATGAATATTGAGCATCGAATACTTTACCCGGTGCCTTCACCACGGATGTCATCTGCGTACGGGTTGAAATCCTGTACTGTGTCCTGATTAATGCAAAAGCAACATTGTATTGTTATTCGCATTACTGCAAAAAACCGAGCATAAAGGGCTCGGGAGATTTAGGGCTTGTTTTTTTATTAATTTACCAACAAAAAATTTCAATTTAAACTCAAAATCTAACTCAACCAACTCCATTATCCTCAATATTATCAATATAATTAAATATCAATCAATTATTTACACATCACATCAACTTTAACTTTCTCACGTAATTTTAACTACCTATCACATCACATAATTTCTCTCATACTTTTACATCAAATCAACTTAATTTTTATTCTAAATAATATATTAAATATCCCACTAAAAATAATCAAACCAGTTTTTTCAAAGTTATTATGGTTAACCAATAAAACCAGTAAAAAACTGGCTTATTTGTAAAAACAAGCCCTTGAAAACCCGAATCTTACCCTAAGTCCACCCGTGTTGTGGACCACAGGAACAGTGCCGTATTTCATGGCGTACAACTGGTTCAGACCGCACGGTTCGAATCTTGATGGCATCACGAGTATATCACAGCTGCAAATGTATACTTAAATCAAACAAACAACCCCCAAAAAAGATTGTGATTAACACTGTTCATAATCCAATCCCGAGACTCGGAATATAAATGAAATGAACCAATCATTACAAAAATGAACAGGAATACAAATCTTATCATTTACCCTGCAGTAATCCTATGAGAAATTGGGACATTGAAGCCAACCCAACCCCGAAACTTGTCCTTATAAACCGACTCTAAATGTCTCATCCAATCTTCGTACTGTTTCTCTCCAGATCCAAGCATTACCTTATGCATACAAATATTCAAAATTTCATCAAAGCAACATGAAAGTACGAATATATTTTATCCTAAACCTGATTCACAAGAAGAATACACATTCTTAAGCAGCACAACAAATGAACAAAGGAGCCTTATTGTTATAAAATAAACAATAGTTCCTTACAAACTGGACATCGTCGTGCATAAGATCTGGAATGGCTGAAAGAATAATGTCGACACCTTTCTGGAAGTCAAGCCTCCCGATAAAACCAATCTGTAGAACAATTCAACTCTTAAAACGATTCAAATAGAAAAAAATAAATAAATTAAATAAATAAAAAACGATTCAAATAAAAAGAGCACTTTTATTTTCTAATCAAAGAATGAAAATATGCCTATTTTATACCAGAGGACAATTGGGTCGAACTGGAAGGCCAAGTTCTTTCTGAAGTTCTAGCTTACATTCAGCCTGCAATAATTGATAAATAAGAGGATAGCAACGTATAATAAGTAAATAAATGCAACTTCAGTTTCCTACGTAGCAAACATAATTTCAGTTTTTTTTTTTTTTTTT